ATAAAAGAGCATTTGTCTTATACTAGAGTATTATTGTTTAATAAATTAAATTATTTGATTTCATACTCTCAGAGTTGTATGTGCTTCACTCTTTCACAAACCACCTATCTTCTATTTTTCTCTAATAATATATTCATCTCCCCTTCTTAATCTTGCTGTGTCTATATCTCAATTTATCTTCTATTCTCTTAATCAATTCTGATGTTAAAATACCTAGTGTTTTATCCCTCAATCATAAGTTTAATTAAGTTTGTTGATTGAAAATTAATTTAAATACTAGTATATTAGACTCAAGTCCGATACACCTTTAATTCCTAATCTCAAATAATATTATTTTCATCTTCTTAATTATCGGTCATTTGTTAATGTGTATCTAAGGTATTCACAAAAAAATGGCTCATATGCTATAATATAAATGAAATTATTTTTAAAGATAAGATAAATAAGAGCAAAAAAAAAAAAAAAAAGACATACTAAAAAAAATTATACATTGTAATTCAAAAAAGAGAGACCCAAAGTTTTTAATCCTTACAAAATTTTCAAAATGCTCTTCATTTCTTTAGCATATCTCTATCTCTATATGCCTTATGATATTCTTTCCAAGTTTGATTCTCATCTTATTTGACATTTTCAAGAGTGACTTGCTGCAAAATGAGATCATGAGACAATTCATAAGAGACGCCCATCCACCAATATATAACTAACATATAATCTTGCTACAAATAAATCAATCAAAGATGCTGGTTCCTGTCTCCTTATCCATCACATCATGCATCATATTGTATTCATGTGGGTCAATTCATGTTTTTCCAAGTACAAAAAATTGGTTGGCTTTCAATCTTTTTATTGCAAGCTATGTTGTCATTAGGGTTACTAAGCAAATTCTCCACTTCCCTTATGTGGAAAAGAATAGCCACCACACACCTCAAAGCCTTAAGGACCATTCCTTTTTTATTATTATTCCTTTAGAGACATGAATGTGGCTTGTTCTACAATACAAATAACAATGGAATCTTTATTTATAAGTGGTACATAACAAGAGATTTTGGCATATGAAATTGTCACACAAGCAACCTTTATGTTTCTTTGATTTATTGCATTGCCAGCTCAAAAACAACTAAATTTTTTATAGAAAATTTAAATATCATGTCACCTTTTTATCTTATATTATGATGTTCTTATTTAATACATAATAAAATTATTATTATTGTGATATGAATGAACAAAAAAGTTCTTAAGAGTTTTAAATTATTTTTAATATGTAAAAAACAAGGAAGTTCTATATAACTACAATAATATGGTATTTACCCAAAAATTAAGACATAAATATTAGGGTTAATAAAAAATATTATATAGTGTATTACTATACAAATATTTTCTAATCAATTAGAATAGCTTTGTAAAATTTAGATGACTAAAGTATTATTCACCTAAAGAACAAGACAGTCAACTTTTATTGTATATTTAATATAATTTTAATTTATTTGAATATCTTTTAGATCATTTAATTTTTTCGGGTAAATATATATGACTTAACGTGCCTATCCCATACTAGAGAAAAATGGCAACCTCATTTAAGATTGTCTACAATAATACTAAAAATATTATTATATGGGTAAGCGACCAATACAAATAAGGATTAGATTGGAGCAAAAATGGACTAATATATACTCACTCTTCTATGAAACCACTCTAAGTTTAATATTAATTATAAAAAAATGTTTTTGATTTTAAATATATTCACTAACATAGAAATTGTTTTAAAAAAAAAATAAATATTTTCCCCTTTGATGTGTGTGTGGCTCTCAATCACTCATTTGAGATGTTTATTACTTTAAAGTGATTGATGTGGTCCAACAAATGCTATTAAAAACAATAATCAATAAAAATACCATCATATTCTCATTGATTGATAAAAAATATTCTCACATAAATGACTCAAATATCACTCAAATGAAAAATAACTAAACAAAATACAAGCAACTACAACATCATGAACTGAATATAAATATTTCATATTCCTCATAATCTTTACAAAAAATGAGCCCTCATAACAAATCATAATATCCAAATTAGTATGTTGAAGTTTATGGAAAAATAACATATCTATAATTCTTAATCATTCATTCCATATCCTTAACATGCTGCCATTAAACCTAAATTTATCAACATAATATACAAAATTTAGTTGTTTATTAAATACACTACTTATAAATTTATGCATCCTTGAGAAATCCATGTCAGATGAGAATATCATGGAATGGCATAGATGATACCATGCAATATTGCTTACACATCACATGTGTTGATCCATCATTCATCAGCATCATCATCATCATCATTTTCATCATCTCTCTAAATATTATGCTTGCAAGAGAGTTCCATCATTGCCTTAGATTCTTACTTACAACTTTTCAGATTCTTGATATGATTTCCTTTACATGAATCTATGATAGCTTTCTATAATTATAACAAGAAATTTTTATTGGAATGATTAGCCTACCCATAGCTATCATTCCAACTGCCACATAATGCAATATATAATGGAAGCAGACACACAGATGAAGATGGCATGACATGAGTATGGATGCTATGATATTTGAAATATATAGTTTAAATTTAATTAATAATAATATATTTTGCGGTGAGAAAGAAAATGAATAAAAATCATCAATATATAAGTTAATCAAAATAATGCTTAAATTTTATGGATGCTAGCTATTTATATAAAAGCAACTAAAAAAAAAAATCAAGTAGCTTAGCAAAAACTTTATGTTGGTGATACTAAGGGTTTGTTTGGGGCAGCTTTCTTACTGCTTCTTAAAACTATTTTCTAGTACAAAAATTTTATTTTTTGTATAAAACACTATTTTAAGAAGCAGTAAGAAAAACCGCCCCAATCGAAGCCTAAGGTTTCTCTTCGAATAGCTTTCTTACTGCTTTCTAAAGCAATTTTTTAGTACAAAATTTTCTTTTTCAAAAAAATTTTGTATTAAAAAGCTATTTTATAAAACAGTATAAAAGCTATCCCAAATAAAACCTAAATTTTGATAAAGATGTAATTTATTAATCATTTTTTACAACAAATACTATTATTCACACCAACAACAACACTCTTGAAAAATTTTGAAATTAAAAATTTAAAAAGTTTGACTAAAAGACACTTTTACTCAATTTTTGTTTTAAAAGGTGACTAATGATATGATTTTTTTTTTTAAATAAAACTATAGCTCAAAATTATTATAGTGTCATATCCAACACTAGAGAATATTAAAAAGAAAATTTTATCTATTATTTGTGAGTCACTTGCTCTTTTCTTATTAACAATAAAAACTCAAATTCTCGTCAATTAATTAAAAAAGAAATAAAAATTTCTACTTATTTTTCTATTAATCAAATCTTTGAAAACCAAATATAGTATTTGTTTCCTTGGTTAATGTGTATTTTAGATTTTTATTTTTTATTTTTAATTTACTTAAGAGTGTGTATTTGCTTGGTTTGAATGGTTCAGTATAAGAATTAGATAAACTTATTGATTTCAATAATTTAATTCAAACAATTGGACAGATTAAATTATTCTTCAAACTAAACTAAATTAAACCAAACTCTAATTTGGTTAATATGTTTTTTTTTTTTTTTTTTTTTTTTTTTATGAACCAAATCATCATTAGCTTTAACAATGATCATAACTATATTTATCTCAAATAACTTATATTAAGAAAGATACCAACTAATTTTTTTAATTTATGATTCACATACAGATCACTAAATAATATCCACATTGAATTTTATTTCACTAATTTATTTACATGATTTTATTGATTTAGTTAATAACTAAATAAAATAATAAAATTAATTTTTAATTTAATTTTTTTATAAAATCAAAGAAATAGAAGCAAAAAAAAAAAAACCTTATATAATTGATACTTTAACAACTAAAAATCAATAAAATAATATTAATTTATTTTAATTTGTAATTTTATTTCAATGATGCAGAAACATAGAGAGGTAGACAGTAAACTGGGCTTAGGCCTGATAGAAGACGGGCCTTCAATATAAGATGGGTCAAATATGTACTAAGGCCTTAAGGCTAACTGCAATGATCTTTTAGATTTTTTTTTTTCTCTGTTCAGAATTTCATTGGTATAAAAATTATACAAGGATATGCTGATCTAAATTAATATTATGATATTTTTAAATTTTATTAAAATTTTTTTTTTTATATTATCCATAAACTAAGAGGGCTTCTTTGAAAAATAAACCAAAATAAATATATAAGAATATAAAATTTATTGGTGCTTATCAGCTAATTATGTTCATATTCCATACTACCAAAATGAATATGCTTCATTTTAAAATCTTTGAGAAAATATTTAAGAAACAATAGAACAAATTACAATCCTACACTATAAAATAATAAGCTTTTAAGTTCTATTTGATCTAATGATAGGAATTTGAAAGTTAAAAAAAAGGCTAACATAGCAAAAAGAATAATATTCATATTTTGTTCGTTAAATAATAGGAATGTGATGTTATGAGTGGTTCTGAGCAATATATGGGGTCCACAAGAGGCCCCATACAAAGTTGTGGCTTGTGGGGCCAGAAAATAAAGGTGAGTTAACATAAAGCTAGCTTTTTAAGGACTGATAAGTGATTTTTGAGCACTCATAACATGAGGCTTTGGACTGATTGGATCAGATTAACAGTTATAGCGAGCTGGTTTATCACAAAAGCTCATTGCAGGAAGCCAAATTAAGCCTCAGTGTGCCATATCATAGTTATTTATCAGTGCAAACATTCTCCTTTTCTTTGGATTTTACTCTGAGAGCTTTAGTTGAGGGATTCTTACACTGCCAAAGGGAGTTTGAGATCAGAAAACTTCAGCTGCTGGGGGTTTCTTTTCCTTTCATTACTTGGTTCTTATTTCTTTTTTAAAGAACAATATAATGCAAGAAGCAGTGATATTGAGAGCCAAAAAAAAAGAAAAAAAAAAAGAAAAATTTGATCTAATGATGAAATAGGAATTTAAAAGTTTCTATGAGCTCTTATGACAGAGAAGCTACAAAGACAGACCCTTCAAAGGCAAACAATGACACTTTTGAGGAAGTTCTAAGAAAGAAAAGAGAAAGAAAAAACATCAGCACTACAAGAGAAGGAAGAAGGGCTGTAAATAGAGGAGAGCACAACTTTAGAAGCAAACAAAAAGCTCAGAATGAGCACTCTATTGTGGAAGATGGCAGGAGCCATTGTTCCATTAGAGAGCCTTAAAACCAACAATAAAGAGAAAAATACAACAGATGGCTGAAGGGCAAAACTAGTACTGGAGTCAAAGAACTGCTATCATCTCTTTCTCATCTGATCTGGTTATAATCTTCTCACACTTCAGTACCTAAAACAGAAACCAAATTGGTATTAAGAGATGAAAAATAATCAAAAACTGTTCAAAGCAAATAGAGGAACTTAAGGTTATATTGAAACTTGGTTCATTTGAATACAAGTTTCTATTCATAATCATGGAGATTTATAATAATGAAAATTGTTTTCCTTGTAGGATTTGTGTAGCTGTAAACAAGAATCGGTCACCAGAATCACGAGGAGCATTGCATCGAAAGCATTCCATTCTACTTGCGAAGTTATGCTCATTGCAACCCGACCTGTCAGTATATAAACAGAATGGTTAGTTCAATCAAATCTTGTTGTTCAACTTGGTCAAATAAACGAATGAAAACTAGAACATGGAAAAGAATTGCACCTGGTGCAAATCCAGTCACCGGATTTCCATCCGGCACGGCCACTACCGCCTCCGCCGCCGCTGCCACCGAAGCCATAACCTCGTGGACGTGGCACATCACCACCATCCAAGTTTCCAACACTAATCGAAGTGTCCTCCTTGAAACCACCACATTTGAAGCAGCTTGAGCGACTAGCAAAGTTGTGAGCACCACACTGGCAGTACCAGTCTCCAGGTCTAACATCAGAACCAGTACTGAATACAAAGGAAGAGCCACCGCGGCCGCCACCAAAGCTACCATAATCGGAGCGGTCACCACCGCCTGACCTTGGATCACCGCAGCGCTGGCATGAGTCCCTCCTGCTGAAGTTGAGGTGCTGGCATGACCTGCAGTTCCAGTCTCCTGGCTTCCTGTTCATCTTTCAGAACCTAACATATTCACAGTAGAATAGAAATCTTACATGAGGAGAGGAGCATCACAGTAATAGCAGAAGGAAGATATGAATATTGCATGATGAAGGTTAAAAATAGCAAAAAATAATCAAAGATTTTACTTGTTTACTGCTTAAACTACATGGAAGTTACAGGACAAGTTCCCTGACCAAGTGATTGTTCCCGTTTATATTTGAAAAAAAGCTGCACAAAGTTCATGGAATTGAGAAGTAGAATGCTCACCAGAGATGACGAGGAAGATACGAGCGATAGAATATGGAAGAACTTGTGAGCTTGTAGGCTGCTGTGGTTGTGTGATGAAGGTTGGGGACTTGAGTAGCTTTTATACTTGCGCAGCTCAATTATTGCGAATCAAGATTGGGTTCGAAAACTGGAGCTGTTCCCACTTTTTTTTTATTTTTATAAATTGCATTATTATTATTATTATTTTTATTTTTATTTTTATTATTTTTACGACAGCTTAGTTGAACAATGGAATCACATAATTAAAACCAAAAGAAGGAAAGAAGATAAAGGGCATTGAGAAGTATGCTGAGGATAAAATACAATATGCAGGATATTGAGTGCCATACTACAGGACCAATGTAGAAGTTGAGGCCTTCCCCTGTTTTCATATTTTCTAACATATAAAACTTTTATAAGACTACTTCTAATATCAAGTTTCAAAAACTTTTGTAAGTCACATTAGCGATAACGAGTTGTTGTACCGAGCGATACCGAGCAGTATCGAGCCTCAGTGCATAGTAAAGAGGTGCATGATGCATTTTATTTGGTCTCAGGATGACGTTCGGCTTCCGCACAGAATAATTAATCCATACCCCCTCTCCTAAAATTTATTATTATTATTATATGATTTTTTAGATAATTTGTCCATCTTCATCTATTTTTTAGTCTTTATTATAAGAGTTTTTATCTCCCCCCCACAATTTTTTTATTTTTTAATATTATGGTCTTTAGGCAATAGCCCCCTAGCATAATTAAACACATTATGTAGAGGTGTTATTGTTAGGAAACGATGAACCAAATATAAAAAGAAATAGTAAAAAGAATTCATTATTTTATTTATTAATTTGAATTCCAAAAATATCCTTATAACCAAAATTTATTTCGGGGGTGCTGACCTTAAAACCCTCTCAAGGGTGTTGCCCCTTTACCCGATGGCCTGATCAGGCATGTCGAACCCCGTCAGGACGCGCTACCCACTTTGACCCCGGACATATCTACGAAGTATATGACTATCAAGGATATGAAGAAATAGGGGTCAAGCCAAATTCAAGGCAACTTCAACATATATTTTGTAGAAATTGAATGATTAATCATCTTTAGTGAACATTTTCTTTTTGCTCTATTGTTTGGTCGCTATTAACGCTTTTTTTGTAGCTAAAGATTAAGCCAAATTCGAGGCAACATCAACAGTTACATATAAATTTGTCCTCCCGAAAATTAAGGCCGGGTCCGCCCCTATATCTATTTGCGTACATGTATGAGCATGTGGATACAACTTTTGATAGGCATTAGTGGAGCACAGTGGTAATCACAACAGACTTAACAATCGCTGAACAGAAAGCTCAATTTAAAGTTATCTTCGTTTAATAGGGTAGGGAAATTTTTGAAAACAGAGGGGAAGCTTCCTTTAATTTGCGTTTATCCGCAAATAGGTTGCTCAAAAGTAAAGGAAAACTGGTGAATTTCGATAAAGGTTATATTAGAAGTAGTCTTCGAGGAAGGTTTTTGACCATCTTTCCCTTTGTTTTAGATAGATATATCTTCATCTTCTTATCCTCTGAATAATTATTGTTTTCCAAGTCCTCTTACTTTCACCCTTTTCTTTTTCAAATCCTTAGCGTTTTCATTTTGAATGGCTCGCTTTAGCTTTACTTATCCCTTCTCTCTCTGTCTCTCTTGCTACAAGTGAAGGCAAGTTTCAAAACCACATAGGATAATAAGCCCTCCATTCTCTTGGGGTCCGTTAAAGAGGAAGTGGTAAACTGTGAAAAGAAAAGAACAAAGGAGAAAAAAAAAGAAGAAGAGGAAGAAAAGCAAGCACACAGTAGAAGAAAGAGAAGGTGGGCTGATTCGATTCTCCTGGGGAAATGTATCCATGCATGATCATGGTTAGCGAGAGAGTTTTGATGACATAACATGCTTTTACTCTACTTTTTCCTCTCCACCACTATCTTTGCCTTTTATGGCAACTAATACTATAATGACCGCTGGTGTGTTATTCAAGACAAAAGCCTTTTAACAGAGGAGCAATCCTTCATGAAGGTATCTTTGCTTTAAATACACAGACTTACAGCAAAACCATAACAGTAAAAAAAACTTCAAGAGCTCAACTAATTACATCTGTAATTCTGCCGAGCTATAGAATTTTAAAAGAGTTAGACTATACTACTTTTTAAAGAGAAGATCAATGGAGCATTTATACACAAATATCTTATAATTTGTATTTAAAATGGATTTTATCCTTTTAAATATGAGAGAGAGAGAGAGATTACTATTTTATTTAAAATGGATTTTATCCTTTTAAATATGAAAGAGAGAGAGAGAGAGAGATTACTATTTTTTTTACAAAGAAAAGTATTTATCATCAAACATCTTATATTAATCGGTTAATCCTCAATATACCTTTTAATAATTGAGATTTCAATTGGATTTTAATTCTATGGGTATATGAATGATATAAGATAGATGGGATAGGTATTATATATCTAGTGTTAAAGAAATTTTTTGAGGCATCAATATAATTTAGCTTGACAAAAAATATATCTCATACATTATATACATGATATAGACTTGGCATATCCAAGAAAATATGAACACAAGTTGAAATGGTTCAGCTATATTAAAAATGTTGATCAAGACCCACTTGAAACCCTCCCAATTCAAATAGGACGGCTATCATCCAAATGCCAAGAGATTATTATATGCATAGTCTGTACCCAAACAACCGTTCGGTTTTGTGATTGTGAACAATAAAAGTACAACATTGAACAGTAAAAACACAACGATGAACAATAACTATATATGCTTTTACTGTTTCACAGTCATAAAATATAATAATTCTTTAGATCTGAACTCCGCACGTAATAATCTCTGCCAAATGCTATAATGATGTGATGGTATTTGTTATTGTTAGGATTTCAAGATTTTAGGAATGGACTGACTTCACGTGGAATGATTATTTGGTCAATTGGCACTGCATGACGTCAAGGAAATGATAAAAATTCCCTTATTTTTCTGACATGGCTGCACCATCTTTTTATGCCAAGCATCAGTACATCACTATGTTATGCACATTTTCACAAATATTCTACTCGATCTCATCTCAAACGGCTCCATTTGCCACATAAATGATAATATTAAGGTGTTAAATAAATAATACTTAATAATAATTTTTTTAAAATCGATAAACTATTATTCTTGTTTATAAGTTTTGAAATTATCATTATTTAAAAAAATTATAAAAAATATTGATTAGGATAATAATTTTACACCAATGCTAACGATTACATTAAAATTTCATGATGAATTTTTAGTGGTAATGTCATAATTTTAAGAAACTTAGGCAAATATGCCATAATTAGTTATTCTTATTAATGAAATAGGTTAATTAATCTTTCTTTTTACAAAATTATAAAAATTTATTATTATTTTTTATATGAAAAGACCAAGAGAATTTTATATAAATTCCTTATAAGAAAAATGAGGAGAGCTAGAGATGGGAGTAATGGCTGAATTGAGATTTAGGCTTCATTTGAGACAGCTTTTTCATTGCTTTCTAAAACGGAGTTTTAGTACAAAAATAAAAAAAATTGTACTAAAACTCCGTTTTAGAAAGCAATAAAAAAGCCGTTCCAAACGAAGCCTTAGAAGAAAAGAGGCGAAAAAAATATCCTTTGTTGAAGGAAATTAATGACTTACGATCGGTTTAGAAGAACAAGTTCTGTTGTTATTGGAACAGGTTCCAATTAATTAGATCTTCTATTAGCAACAACTTATGTATTGGCTTACATCTATGTCGTCCCTAAGAGTCTCATGCTTAAGAAATTAACTACCCTCACTCTTCAAGTTCTTCAATGATGAGAGAAGTCCTAAGAAAACACTTGCTCATTAGCTAACCTTGTGGGCTGATACTACTCGTCATAATGCTAGGTTCTTCCTCCATATGAGTAATTACAACCCTGTTATCTTTTGATAATTTCTTTCTATTTCAACCTTTCTTCAACAAATCCTCCATGCTTGAACCTATGATCACCATAAGGCCTTTATAAAGTTGCATTGGCTGATTGCATATGTTCAATAACAACATAAATTCCATTACAATTGTTGCAAATAAAGTCAACTTTCAGGTTGCTTATAAATTGCATAGATTGTGAGCTTTTGAATGATATTCTATTTGGGGTCTACCATTTGCAAAATTCTTTCCTGCAGGCCACTGTTTTTGTTATCCAATATATCTTGTATTGTGTTATGGTTGTAGTTTTTACAGGCACATATGTTACTTGCTCTTCCTCTTCGTTTTGCACTCCCATATTGCAAGTGACTAGAGGATCGTCTTTTAGATGGAGGTTAATCTTTTTTTGTGGCAAGATTGAGCTGAATGACTATACTTGGAGTTTACAATTTTGGGTGTTGGCTTATGGCCGATCTAGACTATGTTCTCTTGTAATTTTGCTTAGTGGGGACCATCGGCTCGTAGTTATTTTTTTTGACTTGATTGTAGCTCAGTTGAGCAGTAGAGAGCTGGAGGTTCCCTTAAAGATCTTGTACAATTTTTTTTGCATATTAACGCATATGCATGTGGGTGGGTTTTAACAAAAAAAAAAGTTTGGTGGTTTGTGTTGTTCTCTGCTGTTTAATTGTTGGAATTAACTCTTTTATTTCATGTATTTTTCGAAATGGTGAGCAAAAATGTTTGACGATTTTGAATGTTCTGACACTATTTTGCCGGCTAATGTGAAACTAGTTCTTTGTATCCGCTCATGTTGAGATATGATGGCTATGTAAGCCAAGATATCTGTATGAGAAACCCCCAGAATGAAACATTTTGCACTAAGTAAATAATCCATGTCGATTCCGTGAAGTAAATCTCTCTCAATTCTGTTTTACAATCTGAGCATCAGAGCCATCAAGTGCTTACTTCAATACCCAATGAACCGAACTCATTACCTGACAGCCCATCTTTCCACGGACCAGAACACTAAGAAATAAAATGCTTCATCATAGTTCCAGTGCCTTGAGGAAAAGTCACCACTTCATTTAAGAGAAATTATTATGTACGGACACCGAATGTCGTCCATACCTCAATGAAAATGTGCCATGTCACCTCATATTTGGTGTCGCGGCTCGGTACTGTTGGGTACCGAGCTCGGT